GGCCGGCCGGGCGCGGCTCGGGGGTCGCGGGGCCGCGGCCGCGGCGGCGGGAGGGGGTTTGTTTACATGTCGCCTCACCCTAGCTTGAAAGGGCCGCTGGGCGGGTGAGCGGCGGGCGCGGCGGCCAATGGGAGCGCGCGCGGCGGGGCAGCCAGCCAATGAGCGGACGCGGGGGGCGGGGCGGCGGCGGCCGGGGTAGGCTGCGCTGGGCGGCGGGGCGGCCATGTTGGCCGGAGGTGTGTTAGTGGGTCAGGGCCGGGCCGGGGGACAGCGGGGGACGCGGGCACCGCGCGGGGCCGAGCCCGGCAGGGCTGCCCGCCGTGCCCGTCCCTCCGCAGCGCTCTGCCTCCGGGGGGCTGTCCCGCCTAAGCGTGGGGAGCGGCCCGGGGCGGTGCCCGCGCACGGGGGGTCCCGTTCCCCGCGCTCAGGGCAGGACGGGGCGCGTTCCCTTCTCCTGCTCCCGGCTCGTCCCCGCAGATTTGGGTTATAAAACACCCGCGAGCTCCCCGGGCCCCCTCAGGAGCAGCCCGCACACGGCTGTCGGACGCTCTCCGTGTCCGCTCTAAGCTCACGCCCGCTCCTAGCCGGGACCACCTCTATTAAAGTCCCTTGTGCCACCGAGGACTCAAAGCCAATCTTTATCATTTATCTTTGTCCCTCCCGGTGTCATTCCGCCGCTGCCGTGCCCTGGCTCGTCCCTGGCAGCCCACGGCATTTCTGAGGGCACCGGCTGCCGCAGGATCCGGTGTCCGGGCTCGCTCCCGTCTCGCTCGGTGTCAGAGCGCGGTGTCTGTCCAGCCTTCCCCCGCTCCCCGGGCTGAGCTGGGAGCGCTCGGCGCTGCCAGCCGGAGTGGGCGAGTCTCGCTTCAAGGGATCGTGATCTTTCTGCCGCTGCCACTCCAGGGGGAACTTGTTGAGATCGTGCTCCACGTAACAGGCAGAACAGAATCAGATACTCGTATTGTCCTCAAGCACTTGTAAATGTTTTAAAGGTTGTGTTTAAAAGGCCTCTAAGGTTGCTTCTGAGCATCCTTGTGGGGAAGGTTAATTATGATTATTATTAAATGTGTTTTCATAGTAAAAATTACAGAGAGGCAGATGCAGGTGCTTTGGAAATGTGGTCGATTTCTGGTTTTGGCTCCTTAAGTCAGAAATCAGAATTAGTTTGGAAAATAAATCATAGAATCCCTCAATGGTTTGTATTGGAAGGGACCTGAAGGATTATTTAATTTCAAGCCCCTGCCCTGGGCAGGGACCCCTTCCCCTATCCCAGGCTGCTCCAAGCCTGGTTTTGGGATCCAGGGACAGCCACAGCTGCTCTGGGCATGACCATTCTGCAAGAAACCTGTCCTGCTAAAATAATGTCAGCGAGATTCCTTTTTAAATGCATAAATAACAGTAGCTCAGAGGCCTCAGACGTGCCCATAGCCAGTAGCTCACCTGAGCCCAGAAGGAGTTATTCTGAATTGATGGGAATATTCCTGATAAGAGCAATCCTGAGCAGAGGCACCAGCCCCCCCCGAGCATCCTCCCCAGGTGGTTTTTAAATAATGAGAGAGGCAAACAGCCTGTGAAGGACAGAGATTGAAGTCAGCATTAGCAGGAATTAATTGGGGAGAAACAGAAGCTTTTGTCCCACTAACAGACTGATGGGATAAGTAAGGGAACCCACGGTTTAC